TCTATAACACAACATTTTTATATTTCTTTAAGTTACTATATTTCCTTTTTTCGATGTTATGTATTTGCATAATGAGTCGGTGCCAAGCCGCTATAATGGGGATTTCAGTTTTCTTCAAAAATCTTTGTAAAAGGTAATTATTTTATAGCTGTTACACTTAGAGTCCAAAAGATGTAATAGTATTTTTCCTCCAGACTGTTGAATACCAAATAACAGATTTTTTGGTTTGAATTTTGGGGCATGTATACAGTATATGCACATGGTCTGACTGTGTTTCACTGCAGTCTCTTCAGAAGAATGGTTCTTGGTCAGTACAGTACATTTACTGACATACAGAGGTTTTGGAGGTCCTTTTCCCAAGAGATTTTAATTTGGTTCACTTCATTATCATATTCATCATAGAGAATATTGTAATAAATGTAAATTTTTCATGTCTATTATGTAGAGTTTGGATTCTAATAGACTTTCAGAATGTTGGTGAGGAGGTTGAGCCGACTGAGTTTTTCCTCTTATGTACAAACTTACATGAATGTATCTGTAAAAGTGATTAGTTGGGGGCTCATACTCCTTTGCTATATTTTCAAAAGTTTCTAAAATCTGACCCTTAAATAGTTGATGGAACCTTACAGACCCCTTGTCCTTCTACATTCTGAAAATCTCATCTCTTACGATTTGGAGAAGATTCTGGGTCCTGACTAATTTCTCAAAGAAATTGTGGACGTATTCCACTGACTGCCCTGAGAAGATAGAAGGAGGGTGAATCTACCATATTTGCTTCAATACTTTTCCATTTTGGATTCACTTTACTATTCATCCATGTAAGGATGTTTTTGAATTGAGTGCAGAAACAAATTTGGTAGATCCCATATCATTTTTTCAAGAGGCCATCCGTTTCCAAAAAGCATACATTTGTTAGGTACAGAGAGGTAAATTCTGAAACAGAAATAAGAGCTGTGGCAATATATTTATTTTGAATATTTATATTTTTTCAAACACTGTAAGGGGCAAGACTTTCCACTCACTAATGTCTTATTAGTATTGTTTATAATTACACATATTTAATTTGTCTATGTCCTTTGGAATTACACTACCCACACTGTAAACCTGGATCTTGTAATCTTGTGAACTGTTTAGTATTCATTGCTTACTCTCATATGTTTTTGTCAAAATAGTTGTGGCTACTAATCTTTACGAGCTGTTTGTACTTTGGCATGACGCTGGTTTGGAATAATGCAGTTAAGCACTGATTACTAAACCAGGTAAAATTACTTAGAGGGGCGGGGTCTATTTTCCACATTTGGCCTACGTCATGACATCACTCACTCTACAGATCACGCACCGTCAACGACAGTTCTGTTCTGATGTTTCCAGGTTAAAAAATGCACTTATTTTGTGCAAGTTTCTCTTGAAAGCCTGTTTGTATTCTGTTGGTCACCGCTCATAAGCAAAAGTATTTTTATTTTCCGTACACTAATGCAATGGTTCCCAGCCTTTTGTCTAATGTACACCTTGGGCCTTTCTTTAATTCATATTCTGACAACCCTCTGATTCAAAGGATATGCTGATTAAGTTAGAAACGGAATGACAAAAAATCAAATTAATAAAATGAAATTGTAAAACTTAAAGGATGGCTAAACACTCAAATCTCTTTACAGGTAAATGTTTTAAAATGTGTCTTCTTTGACCATAAAAATCTAAAATACAGATTTTTTTTGTTTTGTTTGTGGCTTGTTGGAGAATGTGGCTGTGCTAGTTCCTCTAACCTGAGACTGAGGGTGAATACTTCCTGTCCTTTTTCGTTACTATTTGATTTTGAACAATTTTGAAATGAAGAAGAATTGTAATGAGAGAGGGAAGAAGAAGGGAGGGTCTCCATAATGAATAGAACAAGAAGTACCTGCACTGTAATAAGTGAATCAGACCAAACTTTGATGTAAAATACTTAAAAGTACTGTATAATATTAGCATAGCACCCTGTACAATACTGAGTTTATTGCTTTAAGTGAAAATACTTTTAAGTATTTCTTTGGTAAGCCTGGTGGTCCATTAATGACAAAACAAATATATTGTGTTGATTGAAAACAAAGGTATTGGGCGAGGCAGTGACGCGTCCCACAATGCATTGCAGAGAAAAACAAACTTCTGAAACATTTTGAACAAACTAATTTGACCAAATTAATCATTGTATTTATTTTTACCAACCATGATCAACAGGGCCCAGCCAAAGGAGCCTATACTGCCTGGGTCATCCTGTGTTCTGGTGTTATTTAAAAGTCACTTTGCTTCCATGTAGTACTTGCCTGAAACTAAGCTCTAATTGAGTTGCAATCATTATTGTTTCTCAATCTGAGAGTTCTAGAGTTCAGGACTTTAAGACTAATATATGAGTTTGTAGTGTGATGTCCATGGCATTTATAAAACTAAAATGGATTAGTACAAACTACTTATGAGTCTGGTATAGTGAGCTAATGAGTGTTAATAAATAAATGTGTTTAATGGACTTATATTGTTATGTTTATAGTATTTCTAAAACTAAGTTTTATTGAGGGAATGAGTTTCCTAAAGAAACATTAGTTTTGTCCACTATTTAGGTTTACAGTGCAGGTATTTATTTTATCTCGGTCCCACTTAAAGTTGATCTTTTTCTTGAACGCAAACTCGAGTTGGCAACCCATTTCCAGCACCTCTGTTTTACTTGAATTTACAGTAACTGAAAACCGGACATGGTCTCATATTTTCCAATTTACCACATTAGTTCTGGTCAGCATCTGTATACATCTGTTAAATATATGATATCATGTATTGTTCCTCATCTTTTATAGGTAGGCAACAGTAGCTCAGTTGGTAGAACATTGGCCTTTGAGCCAGAGGGTTGTGGGTTCAAGGCCACCTTCAGACCTTCACCATTGAATCCCACTGATGTTGGCAAGACACTTAACCTCTGGGAACACTCACCTCTGTCAGTGTGCCCCAGGGCAGCTTTATCACCACCGTGTATGGAGTGAAAGAATAATGACATGTAAAGCGTCTTTAAACCGATGCATTATTATTTTATCTTTTTTTTATCCTGATAAATTCTGCCAAGGATTCGATGCATAAGGCCAACATTCGTCCCTCTCTGTATCTGAAGGAATTTAGAAAGTGAGCCTGTAGCTTTAACTCGAGAATTAGATTCCTTATACATCCCCATTATCAAATTTACAAACTGTTCATGAAAGCCAAACTTTTGTAGTGTTGCAAAGAGGAAAGGCCAGCGCACAAATGCAGTCCGTTTTTAGTGACATGTTCCATAACATTTATTGTCCACCTTACATTCTCACTGAGGAATCTATTTTTGACAAAGCCTGTTGGATCTATGGTTATAATCTGGGGCAGAATATCCAAAAGTCGTTTTGTTATAATGGGACTGAAATGTTTATGATTCAAACGTGATATTGATCCTCTTTTGCCATGTCTATTACACTGGGTAACAAAAAAATATTTTTTGAAAATAGTCCAGGGTTTTCCAGCTGAATTAGACTACTTTTGATGCTGTGAGTCCGAAAATGACTTTGGTTTTGCTCAATCAGGTCAGGATTTTTTTTTTGCTACAGAAACATTTTTTTAAATCGATTTTGCGTAAAAAACTAATTTCTGCGGATCATCAGCTGAGAAACCCTTGACGTTTTTTCCGTTTTCGTCAAGAAATAAAAGTCAACGTATCCAAAGTCATTCGGTTTTTATTTACTCCATCAAATTTGATAAGCAGAATTTATAATAACATAGACGTACGTAATCCGTAACACTATGGCTGTATCTCAAAAAGTTGACCTGATACAGCAAAATGCATGTGATATTCGGACTCAGAACACCAAAATGAGTCTAAATCAGTTGAGAAACCCCTGACCATTTTTTGGCTGTCAACTTGTGTTATAGTTGTTTCTTTCCTGATGTGTCCGGCCATATTACTGTTTGAAAAACCTTGTTAAATGTTCTACTCAAAATTGGTCAATTAAGATGCTTGAACTTTATAGAATTCACATCTGCTCCAGGGCTTTTTTTTTCCAATTTCCCCTTTTGAATTAGTTTTAGGATTTCAGGTTCTAATATTTTTTTTTTTTTTTTTACAAACCTTTCTGAGATGCAGTCACAGTAGGCAGATTTACTCTATCTGTATATGTATGGGAAATATATAGCTATACAAGTGATCTGGCCTTCCATTCACAACAACTCGATTGTGCACCTGCTAAAATTGTGTATCCGTGTTATGTTCTTTCGATGTCTCTAGACACGTACAGTATGTCTTTCGATGTGTGACGTATGTGTGACATAACTTTGACTAAAAACAATTTCCTGACTTTGTTCTGTATGAAAAAACCTGAGAAAAACTGAAGGAAACTGAGAATAAACTTCCAGGTGGCTCTGGTGCGTACAGATTCCGTCTCTGTGAGGTTAATTTTCCACATACTGTGTTAATTGTGTGTACAGGAACAGTGTCTGCTTCAGGGCTATAGAAACTTCCATAATAGTTTTTAAAGCAGGTCAGAATTTCTTGTAACCCTCGTTGTGAGGTAGAGTCTTTGTCCAATATTGTATCTATCACACCCTGTTCTTTTCTTTTGTTAACTTTCGAAGCCAATATCTTTTGAGCTTTTGGACTATAGTCATAGATAGTTTGTTTGGCCTGAGTAGCTTCTTCTCAAAGTCTTCTAGGAAGATACATTCCAATTAATTTTTAGCTTCAGACAATTTTTTCTCATGCTTTGGGTCTCTTAACCCATAGTAGTTTCCTGCAAATGGTATTTTCTATTTTCCAAGTATCTTAGTTTATTTTCCCTCTGTCTTTTTTCCAGGGTGAGAAGCTGATTATTTCTCTCCTTACGGTGGCTTTGACTGCTTCCCATATTATTGTAGGGTTAACTTCATTACAATAATTTTCCTCCATATAACATTTTATCACTTGCGTCATTTTGTCTTTGAATGCCTGATCTGAAAGTTGTTGAGCCTCCAGATGGTGTCCCATGGCTCTCTGTGCAGATTTATCTCCATTCCTGCAGGAGTATGATCTGATAAGGATAAGGGTACAATCTCACATTTTGCCACTTTAGAGATATCATGTAAAAAAAAAAAAAAAAAACAGTAAAGGTTCTTTCCTGTAAACATCCAGTAATCCCAGTTATGATTTTGCCTTCCTTTGTAGTTTAGCTGTTGGTTCCGCCATATGTTTTGATTTGCTTTCTGTATCCATTTTTAGATCAATTACTAGGTTAAAATTACCTCCCATTAATGAAATCCCTTTAGCTCCGATCATAATTGAATAAAAAAAAAAAAAAGAATTAAGTTTGGCTCGTCTCCTGGAGGGTTATATACATTGAGTATAGGGTTGGAATCTATTTCTCATTCATAGATTCATTGATTGATTTATTAATTAGTATTTGTCTTCTTTGATGTAATTTCCCTGTGTTTTATTTTTGTAGGCGCCTTATCATCGGGCGGAAGTCCTCGTCACTTCCTTTCCTCCATTCGGTGAGTTCGTGGCCGCTGCGCGTGTTCTGCCGCTCCGCTAAAACTGCACTTTTCTCACATTAAAGCCGCTCTTTCTGTGCTCATTTCAGCACATTCACGCTCTGTTTCTATTTCCCCGCAGCTCGCAGAGATGGGCCGCCGTCCTGCCCGTTGGTGAGTCCTTAAATCTGGGTCTAAACTTTAGGCCTGCTCCGGGAGGAAAATGGCTGCAGAGCAGAGATCGCCATGTGCGCTTCACCCGCGGCTCTGCACAAGATTCTCTGATGTTAAACATGTGTGCTTGTGTTTCCAGTCATTATATAGACTTCGAGTTTTGTAATTTCTTAGGAATTAACGGCATGGTTTAGCCAAGTGGAACTGTCATCTAATCTCAGTTAGCTTTAGCAACAAGCTACTAATACATTTGACATGTATTTTATAGTATTCAGCTATGGGCAGGAATCTCCTGGTGATACACGGCAGAATATGCACTAACTCTTAAAACACAGAAATGGCAACACTTCAATTAGGATTCTCATAACTAAAGGATGCACAGATCCATTACGATACGATCCCGATACTCCTGAAAACAGGGTTTACCATTTGTCACGCATCAGATTTCTGTAAATCATGTACAATATATAATTATTGGTGACTTTAAAAATGACTTTTCAGCGAGTGGCCTGCGTTAGTGTAGAACGGGCATAATGCGGTTACCAGAAATTGATTAAACGCAATTTTGTGAGTAATTGCCATTGCTCATCCTGCCCAGTATGTTCACTTGCAGTCTATTAAGCCGACCATCCTTACTCTGTGTGAGGCTGGTGTGCAAAGGCTGCATACAGAGACTCTCTGGTTGTGTATGACTTCAGCTGTGAGGTGCTGACGCCTTTAAGGGACCATTGAGACAAAAGTTCAACTGGTACACAAGCACTCGCTGTCAGCTTGAATTAATGTGCAACCTGTAATATGAATCCCATTTCCCCCGTCAATATTGTGAACTTGGAAGTGAGCTGTACAATTGAGGGCTCCGCTTTATAAACCTTTACCATAGGTAACTTTAGTGATAAATCTGCACTAGGGCAAACCAGACATGTCAATACTGTTGTGACAAAGGACTTATTTTGATTCCTCTTGCAGCTGTTGGTAAATCTGGTGCAAGGATTTACAAGCTAGGTGGTTTTAAGACTGACATGGAGGGTATAGATGTTATAGCATTCATCGCTACAAAATGTGAAGTCTTTATTATAAATGTCTGTTTGGAACTCATACGCTTTACAATATGATTCCTATTTTATTCATTTTTCTCTTCAGTTACAGATACTGTAAAAACAAGCCCTACCCCAAGTCCCGCTTCTGTCGGGGAGTTCCTGGTGAGTCACTTCTACATTGACCAGAAGGGCATGTACTATGTGCAGTCTATTAAGCCGACCATCCTTACTCTGTGTGAGGCTGGTGTGCAAAGGCTGCATACAGAGACTCTTTGGTTGTGTATGACTTCAGCTGTGAGGTGCTGACACCTTTAAGGGACCATTGATACACAAATATTGTACCTTAGTTAAAGTGATTGTCTGGAGTTTGTAAGAAAAAGAGGGGTACTTTATTTGAAAAAAATGACGCACGCTCCGTTCCCCTTTTCTGATTGGTCTACGCCTAAGTTTCCGTAACACTTTTAAATGTTGATCAGAGAACACATTATACATATACATTATTAATACACATGCACAGAGGTTTTCAGAATTATTTGTTAACGTTTTAATAAAGTTTTTATGCACAAAACGTTCTCGGCAAACCCAGAAGTAGCTATTATCTTGAATTGCACATTATAGGACACATCTGCAGAGGATCTGATTATGGATATAGGTTCAGTATATAAATGAGTACCTCAGCGTAGATGTTCAGAATTCTTTGTTCAGTTTGCATGTAGTTCCAGAGCCTAATAGAGGCTTGATTCGGAGGTTCCGCAAAAACAACTGAGCATGTGAGCATCAGTGCCAATGATTGACAGCCCTTGGCATCACCTGATTGTTTAACGTGGACGGCATTGTGGATTTTATTAGAATTAATAAAATTACTTGTATCAACATTTAAGGCCATGAGGTCAATATAACAAATTTCCTAAAATTTGTAATTCGTTTAGACTATCACTTTAACGCGTGTTCAATGTTGTGCAATTTCCAACTGTTAATCTTTTGTGCACAGATCCCAAGATCAGGATCTTTGACTTGGGCAGGAAGAAGGCCAAAGTCGATGAGTTTCCTCTGTGTGGTCACATGGTCTCAGACGAGTATGAGCAGCTCTCCTCTGAAGGTAATATTTTCTCTCTATACTGAAAAGTATCATCTTGTAGAAAGCCTAATGCAGAGGTGTCCAGAAAGGGCCGCTGTGGCTGCAGGTTTTCTATCAGACCCAGCAGAAGCAGCACAGACTTCACCCATTTCCTCAAGTCTTAACCTGAAGATCTGAGGAAATGGGAGGAGTCTGCTCTGCTCTCCCTGGGTCTGATGGAAAACCTGCAGCCCCAGCTGCCCTTTCTGGACCTGTTTGGACACCTCTGGTCTAATGCTTTAAGATTGTATTTGAAGCAAATGTATGTAGTGAAAGAAGAGACCAGTGTGTGTGTGTGGTAGGCTGTCAGGCTTGTGACTGTCATATCTGTGCCTCAGCTCTGGAAGCGGCTCGTATCTGTGCTAACAAGTACATGGTGAAGACGTGTGGTAAAGATGGCTTCCACATCCGTATGAGGCTCCATCCCTTCCATGTGATCCGTATCAACAAAATGTTATCCTGCGCTGGGGCTGATAGGCAAGTACCTGTTCGCTATAGTAGTGTTTTTGAATGGGAGGAGGGCTTCAAAATCAAAGATGCCACATACTTTTTCTCAATGTATGTAATTGGAACTGTTTGGCATAGCACAAGTAGGGATGTTCCAACCACTGTTTTACGTCCAATCCTGATCTGATTAACTTCAAATCAGATCCTGTGTCCTGTTCTGGTGTTTCCTATGATTGGAACAAATTTTGCAAGTAAAGTAAATATTTTACAGACTGATTACAGCCATTACAAGCCAAACATATCAATGTAATGACAAATCGGTTAATCAGCCTCAGTCTATTTTTTCAGGAAAAAGAAAATAAAACTTCTTGGTTGGTACAGTAACAGATATAAATTATTCACATAGCTAAACGTTGCTAAGCTTTATGGGGCCCCGCAACTGACGAGCTGCAATACTGCATGCTTTAAATCACAAGTAGAGGATCACACCAGTGTGCAGTAAAGAAATGGGACAAACGTCTGAACTCCAAATATTGGTAGTAAAACTTTATCTGAACATTCGCTTTGGTAGATTTATACGCCATGTTGCTTTTGTGCTGTCCTTTGCTGTTTACTAATAGAAACTGCCACTTTTGATGTTTTACTTGGTGACTACACATTAACACATTTTATTTTATTTTTTCAACCGTAACAGCTTTAAATTATTGCGTAGGCAGTCAATGTAAACTGCTACTTCACAACTGCTGTAAAGATCAGCAGTCAACAGGGCTTTTTAGCAGATGCACACAAGTCTCTGACCCCCAAGTTCCCGGACCCGCAAGTCCAAGTCTCATTTTCTACGCATAAAAATTATGGCCAATACAATTTAAAATGGACTAAAATATAAATTAATTGTACTGTAACGCATTTTTTAAAACATTTTTGTAAAGTTTTTTTATATGGAGGCAGAAGCACATACTGTAGAGGATGTGTGCAGTTTCAACAATTAGAACAAAGTGCAATAGTCTACGTTAGAGTAACAAACATGTCACTACAGTGAAGGTACAGACCAAAACTATTGTTTGTTACAGGGATGAGGGACGTATCAAAAGTCTGAAATGCCAAATGTCAGCCAATGGCTGTCATTAAATCTGTTTGTTCACAGCATTTTACTGTTGGCACAACCAACATGAGCTGTTAATGCGAGGGAAAATTTTCCAAAGAGGGCGCACCGAAGTCCGAGTCAATTCCCGAGTCTTTAGGGGACGAGTCAGTCGAGTCGCAAGTCTCTAAAAATAGCGACTTAAGTCGGACTCCAGTCCGACTCGCGAGTCCCCTTATCTGCCTTTTAGCATATCCCCGATCAAAGACCATGACATATCGGATTGGGACATCCTTAACCCTCTAGGCGCCACGGTCGACTTCAGTCGACAAGCTGCGGTACTGTTAAAAACGGCAGAGTGTGTCCAACTGAGTGTCAAAATTCATTCACACTCCCTGCCACTAGTTGGCAGACATGTCAGACTACCTCCCTGGCCCCAAAAAACTTCATGCTCCCATACAAAATATTCGAGCAAGACCGCGTTGAACCAGTGCGGAAATCATAGTGAAGCGATGCCGCTGCGAGGGCAGTCTGCGAGTGTTATACCGCACCAAACACTAACTTTAGACACTTTGCACAGGGTCTGCAGTGGGAAGTGTTTCTCAGTAAGGCCAAGTCATTGGGAGGTTCAGAGACAGGTTAGATTTGCGGAAAACAAGCCTGGAACCTGAGTCGGGGCGCCGCGCTGCGACCTCCAGCCTCCGCTGCAGTTTCCGCTAAAATCTCCGCTAAAATTGCTTCCCACATATTTTCATGCCTCCCGTAATCACCGGGACAGTAACGTGTTGGAGAAGCCTTGGCTTGTGTGTGTTAGACGAGAGAGAGAGCAGGGGAGATGAGAGATTAGGGGAGACAGTAGCAGCAGGAGGGTCGTAGTGACGCGCATCACCTGGAGGCGCGCGTCTGGGCAGACTGCTCACAGCAGCACTATGATTTGTATTTTTTACAATTTTCATGAACATTTACAATGTTAGTGTTCTGTGTGTGTTCATGTATTAGTGATCAATATGTCTGTCAGTTAGAAAAATACCTATATTGTATGAAAATCCACTATTTCTTACGCCAAATGACGTCATAATATGCAAATTAGATGGGAGGATTTATTCTCTACATAAACTTTGGACCATCCTTAATATTTTTCTAATTTATTGAAAGCCTTTATCTCAAGTTATAGCCTTTTGAAATTGAGTCAAAATCGAGCGTTTTGGGAAAAAACCTCTGGCGCTTAAAGGGTTAAGCACAAGTGCTTTGAATCAATGTTGGTGAATCCATGCTTTTGTCAATGGAAATCTAAAAACATTTTCATACCAGGCAATTCTCGTTACAACTACTGTAAAATAGTGCAATGAATAACGACCTTACAGCATTGTCATTCATCTATTAGAATATACCGCTCGTTATCGTCTGTCGGTAACTCTACTAGTATAAAGATAAGTGCTGCCGAAGGCAAAGACTATTTTGGTGGTCTCCAAATTGTACATTCTGCATGACGGGCCTACTAAATGTGTTTGTGTTCACATGTTCCTTTTGTCCTCACCCTGTGCTCCTGTATTCAGGCTCCAGACTGGGATGCGTGGTGCTTTCGGCAAACCGCAGGGCACAGTGGCTCGTGTGCACATTGGACAGGTCATCATGTCTGTGCGCACCAAGGCCCAGAACAAGGAGCATGTGGTGGAGGCTCTGCGCAGGGCCAAGTTCAAGTTTCCTGGGCGCCAGAAGGTATGAACATTCCTTATGAGAGTCACTGGAGTGTGCACTCTAGAACTTGGGGCCTAGGACAAAAAAAATGCTGAAATTTCAAATTGCAGACAGGTTGAAATTTCCAGGAGTACACTAAAATAAATGTGTTTCTAAATGGACACAATAAATTGCATAATTTTACCCCCTGTTTTAATGAGGACAAAGATGGAGCTGGAAATGATTTGTATGATTTTAGTGCAATGTCCACCCTTCTAGTGTACCATTGCCCCATGTAGTGCTTTTCATCTATTATAATTGTGATGGAAATGTTCCTCATCCTGTCTAGTTTTTACTGGACACTTGCAGTCTATTAAGCCGACCATCCTTACTCTGTGTGAGGCTGGTGTGCAAAGGCTGCATACAGAGACTCTCTGGTTGTGTATGACTTCAGCTGTGAGGTGCTGACGCCTTTAAGGGACCATTGAGACATTGGCTGAACTAATACAAAACTCAACATTGCAAACCACACTCATCGAAAGGCAGAGTTAAAACAGGAGGCACATTGCTGTAGTTTATACACAACAGACTCTCACGTGAACGATAAGGAACTGTCTTTACACTGAGCGTGTCAGAACATCCGGAGACCCGCGTCGTAAATTCTGCCTCATTGTCAAATTGTCACACAAAACAAAACACAAAACAAGTGAATGTTGTTTTATCGTGATGGTATGCATGCCTGGTGAAAGATAATAAGCTTTTAGCCACAGTTCTGCGTGGCTGTGTCCATGTCCAGATCAATGTCCTCCTGGCTTCTCGGATCGTGGTTTTAAGCTCCCAGATTTCCCCATTTCTTCGTGTCTCTTCTCACTGCATTTGTGAAACTAAATATTATAATCTATGGTAAAGTGCTGTACATGTCCACAGCCGCGCATATGCGTCAAGGCACATGTGTGGCGTGGTAGTGTTTGGAGAGATGCGGTCATTTATCAAACTAAAGGATTCTTTCCTTAGTGGTCCGGTGAATTACCAGATGTTTGGGACCACTGTAAAACACAAAATGCCTCAGACCGTGTTTTCCAGAGATTTTAAAGCAATGTGTGGGGGAGAGATGTATAAACTTACTAGGACATGAACACACAACTCGAATTGTAACATGCTAAATGTTCAGGGAAATAGTAAAAAATGCAAATCATGACAGCTCCCCCGCTCTTTCTTTCGTCTAACACAAGAAAAAGGCTTCTCCAACACGTTACTTTGACTCTGTGCAAAGTGTCTAAATTTTGTTTGGGGCGGTACAACGCTCGCCTGCTGCCTCACAGCTGCACTTGCTTCGCTATGTTTTCCGCTCTTGTTCAATGCGGTCTTGCTCAAATGTTTTGTATGGGAGCATGACGTTTTTTGGAGCCAGGGAAGTCGTCTGACATGTCTGCCAACTAGTGGCAGGGATTTTGAAGTTTGACACTGTCTTTTTAAACATTACCGCAGCTTGTTGACCGTGGCGCCTAGAGGGTTAAGAACGAAACGCAATCTGTGGCGGTCTGTTTCGAATCTGGCGCCCCCCTAAGAGCTTTCCGTGGTGTTGGTGGTAGAAGACTTGCTATATATGATCTCAACTAGGGCTGCACGATATATCAAAAAAATGTTATCGCAATATCCATATAAAAAATGCCCACTTTTTTTATTAAAGACAACACACAAACGTTGAACAAAGTATATAGATATATGCATTTGATTGTCAATGTTTTATTTTTTGTCTCTTGAATTTCCATGCAGATTGCAAATTTTAGGTGAAAGACAATAATATCGCAATACTAAACACTCGTATCAAATATTGCTCTAATTTCCAATATTGTGCAGCCCTAATCTCAACGCTAGATGAGTAAAAATTAGTACCTTTAAACTAAACTCAACTTCATGCGAACACTGTTCTCCTTTGGATTAATTTACAAACTCCTGTCTCATATTCAATCTGGTGTGACAAATGGTTCATAAACTGGGTCGTAGTGTTTTTAAGACCTGTAACGTAAAGGATGCTCATTTACAAATGTTCTGAATTCCTGTAGTAACTTGTGGTTGTTTTCAGATCCACATTTCTAAGAAGTACGGCTTCACAAAGTTCAACGCATGTGACTTTGACGACATGATGGCGGAGAAGAGGCTGATCCCAGACGGATGTGGGGTCAAGTACATCCCCAACCGCGGCCCCCTGGCTCGCTGGAAGTCTCTGCACGCCAACTGAGTTCACGGCGCCACCTTCAGGCAAACACAATAAATGTTTGAGTACAAAAGTATATGCTGCTCCTGTCCTTATTTCAGAAGTGTTTTAGATGCAGTAAGTCAAATCTTTGTCTCAGAAAAGGTTTATAATTATTCAAAACTAGTATTTACAGACGTTCCACCTGATTTTTTTTTTTTCATTTTGGTATAAATATGGATTTTATAACAATAAGTCAGAATTTGTGGAAAATGTGTACTTTATTCTATAGTGAGCTGTGATTTAGATGTATTGAGAGAATTGCTATTATTTGGGGTCAGACTTCAGTTACTCCTGGACCAAACTGTTCTTTTAATCTAGCAGAATTTTAATTTGGAATACGGTTTTAATCAGTTGCAATTGAATAAATGTGAGACTTAAATGGTCAATCATTCCGAATTTAATTGAAAGTTGGGGAAAATCTTCCTATTATGTTACTCTGCATTTAATAATTGTATAGCCCCAAACTACTTATGCGGTCTCAGGACAAAGCAAGGTTGTTGATTTGCCAACCTGAACAGGGTCTTTTTTTTTATTTTTAATCAAAGAAATGTAATGAGAGGCATAGTAGTGGAAAGACTAATGTCAGTTCTGTACCTTATGAGCAATGACTCCTTTTCACTGGGATTAAATATTGAAGGCTCAAAAAATTAATACTAAATATTTGTATTTTATGTTTTAAGTCAGTTTCCAATCCTGGCACTTTGTATATGAATCCTTACTGCACTGGGTTGTGCAAATTCCAGTGATTACAGGACCAGAATAAGCACCAGAGGGAGATGCACCAAAGGGTCGTATTAAACGGGAACCTTCAGTCAACTCGCTGCAACGCTTGTTTCGTGATGAGAACTTGGTCATGCAAACGGCTGCTGTGAGCTCTTTGTGGAGCTAGGTGACTTTGATGGACCCATCTAGCCTTTTGATCTATCCTCTGGTCAAATTGACCCGCCACATAGGTTAAGAAATACCCTAAATAATTCCTAATATGAATATATACAGTAGACTAAAAGTTTAGACACATTCAATGAGTTTCCTTTCTTTTCATGACTATTGACTAGATTCACGCCCAAGCTGTGTAAGGACTATTCGACCATTAAGAGTGGTGGGTGCTGGGTCACATGACCTGGCCTCTAGTCACGGGACCTGAACCCAATCCAGATGGTTTTGGCTCTGCTGGACCACAGAGTGAAGGCGAAAGGGCGAACAAGTGCTAAGCATCTCTGGGAACTCCTTCAAGACTTTTGGAAGACCATTTCAGGTCACTACCTCCTGAAGCTCATCAAGAGCGTGCAAAGCAGTAATCAGAGCAAAAGGTGCTACTTAGAAGAACCTAGAATTTAAGACATTTTGTTACTTTTTTTTTGAAGTACATAATTCCACCTGAGTTATTTCACAGTTTTGAGGCCTTACGTGTGAATCCACAAATTTCAGAAAATAAACTCAATGAGAAGGTGTGTCCAAAACTTTGGTCTGTACTGTATATTTTTTATGTAAGTTATACCCAAATTGGGGGTGTTGTTTTTTTCTTTTAATAATCTGGTCAAATTGACCACGAGGAGGTCACGATGCCTGCCTGCAAACACTTCTGATGGGAACATGCCTGCCTGCCCCTCTACGAATTCCTTGGAATCCATCCTCACCTCCTCCATCACCGTGTGGTTCGCTGGAGCCACAGTCAGGGACAAACAGAGACTACAGCGCATTGTGCGCTCTGCAGAGGAAGTGATCGGCCGCAGCCTTCCATCGCTGCAGGACCTGTACGTCGCCCGAGCTCGAGGCCGGGCTGGTCGTATCACAGCCGACCCCTCTCACCCTGCACATGGACTATTCCATCCACTCCCCTCAGGCAGGAGGCTGCGGTCCATCAGGACTAGAACCTCCCGCCACAAGAACAGTTTCTTCCCCTCTGCTGTTGGACTCTTGAACACTTCTTAACCTGTCCCCCCGCCCTTTATAAAGTCACTTTACTGCCCATCATACGTCACTTTACTTCACTGTACTGCTGTCACCTTACATTGTGTGCACCATGTGCACTTGTAAATAGTAACTGTAACTCTACTTTAAATTTAAATTTATTCTTTAGAAGTGTTTTTTATTCTTATTTTTATTATCTCTTTTTGACTGTTGCACTGAGCCAAAGCAATTTCCTAGTCTGTGACCTCCTGTTACTTACGTGGCAATAAAAATGATTCTGATTCTGATTCTGAACACTAGTATCTGGCAACATGCACTGGACACGTCTGCTCCTCCCACAGCCATGACGCGTCCGTGCGCCTCGGTCTCATTTCAGAAGCTGTGTTAAAAGTTTGGGGAAATGATTTCTCCACAGATGTAGCAAGAGCTCAGCAAACTCACGGCAAGTGAAGCGTTTGACTTTGAGCTAAAACCGACGTTATAACCATGCGTAAAAGCCCGTGCGTAAATGTGCGGTGATTAATCTCTATTTTGAGCTGGAGGTCTCTAATAACTGAACAAACACCGGAACTATTGAACCGAATATTGAAATTCAAGATACTTTGGTTATGAAAAGGCATTTCCTATTTTTTGGCTGTGTTTCGTGTCGAAACATGTTTGAAAGATAATGATCATGCGTAATAACAAATCATTATGAACGCGCCCTTCGTCATTGCCTACCATTAGAAATGGAAAATGTTGATAAGTGCGGACGGGCAGAAACGTGTGTAATTCTTGTTTAAAGCCAGATCCCGTCAGGCGCGAAGCTAAGCAGGGCAGGGCCTGGATAATACTATGATGGGAGACTTATGAAAAAACTATGGGCCACAGTGGGGCGGCTATGAAGTGCGAAATTGTCGGGGTGTCCTTAGGCAAGACATTTTCATTTCATTCCGCAGTCATTATTAACCGTCTTAAAACCTCTTCTCAGCCTGTTTCAGTCTATGTAAGGTTCAAAAACAATGTATTGATTGCGCCTGTCCGTCAGATGTTAATGAAAACATACCAGTGGGGTGTAATGTTCCTCTGTCATCAGCAGGAGGCCCCCCTGTGCCATGGCCCCTCTCCTCCTCTTCCTCACTGCAGCCCTGTCTGTCCTGAACCATGTCCATACCAGCGCCGCCTTCCGGATCTGTGCCTTCAACGCTCATCACTTCGGAGATTCCAAGTCCAAGGATGGACAAGTGATGAAAAGGCTTGTGCAGGTAAAACACAAGGATGGGGAATCTCCATTATCTGCTAACTAATAGCTTAATGTGCTTTTCTAATATAGCAAGGCAAGCAAGTTTATTTGTATAGCACAATTCATACGCAAGGCAACTCAAAGTGCTGAACTAAATAACATTAAAATCATAAATAATCACAGTACATTACAAGGAAAGATAAAAATATAAAATCCCTCAGTTGTATGCACAGCTAAACAGAACTGTTTTTAACCTGGTTTTAAACATTGTCAAGAGAGGAGGCCTGTCTCACATCTTCAGGAAGATTGTTCCAGATTTTAGCAGCATGAATCTGAAAAGCAGCCTCCCCATGTTTAGTCCTGACTCTGGGCACTAACAGGAGTCCAGTCCCTGTGCTCCTCAGAGTCCGGGCTGGTTCGTATGGTACTAACATGTCACTAATATATTTTGGTGCGAGGCCATACACAAGCAGAGCTGTTTTAAAGTCTATTCTCTGAGCCACAGGAAGCCAGTGCAGAGACCTGAGAACTAATGTGGTCGTACTTCCTGGTTCTAGTCAGGACTCGAGCTGCTGCATTTTGAATGTACTGCAGCTGTTTTACAGCCTGTTTGGACAGACCTGTGAGCAGGCCATTGCAGTAGTCTAACCTACTGGAGACAAATGCATGGATAAGAATCTCTAAGTCTGCTTTAGACACTATGTTTTTGATCCTGGTGTTAGGATTCAACAGACAGAGACGGATCGTGGTGTGCCAAACTCTGGAAGTTTATTTAAGTTTCTCTCAAGTTCCACTGGTTTACTCTGTTTCTTTCTCCCAGACAGAATAAAGGCAGTACACAGTTTATATAGTCATTGTCACGTCACACATCGAAAGACATACGTGTCACAAAGAGACAGTCACATCATAGTCATAACATGGAGTCCTTGTAGAGTCCTTGTAGAGTCCTGCACGTAGGCCATATTGCTATCTAATACTAATACCCTCCCCTTTGATCACATAATCACATGTGATCACTCAAATCGATCAATCAATAAAGTGGAAAAAGAAGAAAAAAAAATCAAAAAAACAAAAAAAAAAACTTTCAAAAATTATTAAAACTCATAATCATCAAATCAATATCAGTGGATTTTATCCTCTATCCTGGGAAAAAATAACAAACAAAAAACAAATCAAAAATAAAAACAAACAAACACTATTGGACACAGTAGAACTCAGCAGATTCAGTCAAAACACAGACAAAAACGAGCTGAGTCTCAAATTTGAAGCTAATTTCACTTTTCTTACTCTATACTTTTATTCTAATGCTAATTGTTTACACTTCACTTATTTCACTGTATTATTTTCACTTTTTAATCTTAGACTGTGTACTTTACTTTTACTATTCACTATAGTTTAAAACTATTCTAATCTATTCACATAAATCTCTCTGTTCTGTGGTTTACTTTCATTATCAGTGGGATTTTGCTCCATGTCTATTCTCATTCTCAGGAATAAAACTGTGAACACAGTAAGGCAAATGGTCAACATTTACACTTCTATAGTGGTCAGTGATTTATTACTTTTTATTATCTAAAGATATTATTGTCAGGCAGTTTGGGATGAATGTACATCATTAATCAAATTAGTATTATCCTAATAGTAGCTAATTAGGTTTGGGGTTGGGGTCAGTTATTCTACAATGGTGTTTGCGCTGGAAACTTCTCAATATCTAAATATCTACCATACTGTTTTTGTGCTATACACAAATACATCAAAATGCTTTTAAATGCTTTTGAATCTCTGTTGGTTCTAATCTATCTCATTGATCTAGGCTACACTCATATGAACTTTTTGTATTGTCAACATTCACAGATGTTTGAACACAAGTGAATTTGGCAGTATCTAATAAAACTGTACATAAAACTGTAATTAACTTTATCTACTTCTGAAGTAAATGTTTGTGAAATGGTCCCTTTACCATTTGATATTAGCACTGGCTACAAATAATCTCTATTTTTGAAAGCATCTATGGTTGATGCATTTATCTATTCCTATTTTTACTCTATTTTTTAACTCCAAAGCTCGGTTGCAGCTTGAGCAAAGGCATATTTCTAATTTGTGACTTCTGTCACTTTCAATGGCTGTAACATTATTCTGATTCTAATATTATAGCTGATCTATCAAAAGGATAACATTGTAGGGTACTATTTTAACTCTTACGTGGAAATGTGTTTATGAACAACAAAGGAAGTCAAATTCTACTTTTTTACTACTATTTAACATCTACTAAAACGCTACAATACTCATACTTTATCATTTTCAAAGTTTTTGTCTGTCAGATGTCTGAATACTTAACATGTATATTGCATTTGTCACAGGTTCCGGTTGTAGCAATAGCATCGGCAATAGACGTTTTCATTGGCTGGTTCTTGTTCTGCAAATGGCTGTGTCCAATAGATCATCAGATGTCCAGAAGCTAGGGACAAACAAAAACAAAAGAAAGAATCATGAGTATCTCTCTCATTTAGCACTCATCTATGTATGATTTTAGAAATATAAACATCACTCCCCAGTTTTCTCTCTCTCAGATCCTCAGGTCCTCAGGGTCCTCTGAGGGTCAGTCTCAGTCGTCATCAGGTCAGGTCATATTTCCAGAGATGTCATCTTGGACATCAGTAGGGTCCAAGCCATGGTTTTGGTCTCTCCAGTTGGACATCGGATCTCCAGATACAGTCTTTTCACTTGAAGCACATCAGGTCATTTGCGACGTACTTCTGGTCAATGGTGCAGTGTCTCAGTTCCTGTACACAGCTTGTTATGCAATAGTTACTTTCTATGGTTAGTCACTTTGATTCTACTTTAACACAATTTCTATTCATGCTGTTGCTTCTGTCCCTCAGACAAAAGCAAGCGCAATGATTCAGTTTACTTCTCTAATTTGTGTTTTTATCAGATCTAATTCTAATCAATGTAATTACTTCACACAGTACAAAATCAACAAATCAAAAGTGTCAGGACAGAGGTCAATTATGTCCATGACAATATAGAATTCAAATGAACATTTCTGGTCTCAAAAAATACTGATTCAACTAAAGATTCAAGTGATAGACAATTAAAAATATGTGTTTACATTGGAGTAAACTTTTAAAATTCTTTTTTCTCATGTTCTGCTTTTTCATGTATCTATATGTAAATGTTAATGTGTCAGTGTATGTGTGTGTATGTGTGTATGTGAATTTTGGGGTTGTTTCTCCAGACTCCTCGAACCACCCGTAGGTGTCAAAGGTCACACTGTGGTGATGCGAACCAACTGGACACACTTTCAACTCTCCTCCAGGTCTCTACCTGATGCTCCACCCATCACTGCCTCCAGAAACCTCCACTTTGTGGCCCCGGTCTCACTCCCACTTACTTCTGTAGTGGGGGGAGGGGCGTAGAGGTGGCATTGTTGCCCTTTGCTCTTAGCTCTGTGACCTGTGGCTGGGTGGGCGTTGCGCTGTCCAGTGTCCAGCAGTGACCTCTCGTACAGTGAGGCAGAGTCTGAAAAACAATCCTTGAGACGGCCAATTTAAAGGCACACCGCGGACTTTGTGACCTAAAGAGTTGACACATATGAGTTATTTTATATGAATACTTGGGCCAATATACAGCGCTTGACACTTGCAATGCTCCGAGCGGGGCTGCCCTCTTGAAATACCGCCCATGTAAGTTTCGAGCAGACGGACCGTCTGCCACCAGGTCACGTGACTTGGAAGAAAGACTTGCTTTACGGCTACAGGCGCTGATATACTCATGGAGCTAAGGCTTTTGCTACTCATTTTTCACCTCTCGACTCCTGGTCATGGCTGAGGCAAGGAAAAATTTTAAACCTTCGGAGGAGGCTAAAAAGAGGAAACGCGAAAGGGATCGTGCTGTAAGCTGCATGTCTGTATGAGCGCTGCTCTTCACCTGGTTCCTGGATGTCATCGACTGCAAAGATGTCATTCCACGCAGCACGAGCTAGACGCAGAACTCCCTCATCCAGGATATAGAAGTCCATGTGTGGTAGATTACTAATGCAGCGGTCTGGAGGCTGACCACAGCAGAGTCTCTCAATATCTGTAGGCATGTCTCTACAGTTTGAACACACACACCAGTGCATGCTGTCTGAATACACACTCAAAAGACACCGGCTGACTGTTGACTTTTGCGACAGTGCTGAGTTGCTTGTGGCCACTAGGGGCGCTAAACGTGAAAGTTGCAGGTCTAGCGCCCCTAGTGGCCAAGAGTTACACGGTGTGCCTTTAAAAAACAATAGATATCAGTATGCGAATGAGATTGTTTTTCTCTCTGAAGTCAAAACAATTTTGGAGCGCTCTGGGTTTTCCCAAGCGCTATGTAAATAAAATATTACTTATTATCTTACTAATGATGACATTTTAAAACCAGAAACTCTTAATATAAAAAAACAAGACTCAAATCTCAAAAAACCTTTAAACTTTAAAAAATGTATTCTATTTTGTACTTCTGTACTGTGTGATGTTTTTAATCTTGGCTTGCTTGGGTTTCTTGAAATGCGCCATAAAATAGAATGAATTATTATTATTACTCAAATCGCAACTAAAACTGTATGAAAAATCTCCCTTTTACACTTGAACATTTAAAGCATATATTCTAATTTAAGATAATTGCTGCATTCTTCAAATGCACTCAATAAACTTTTAAAAACATTTTGAATTAACGGACGTAATCAAACTCTGCTCGCTCTGCAGTGAGCAGCAGCTGCAAGGCCAGAGCTATAGACAAAACAAAACTCACAAAACTCGCAGCTTTTAGACTGTAAATTGGGTCACAGTTTAACTTAATAATACTTTTACAGCTATCCTGTTCTATTCCTAATTCCCTCTTTCTTTTTAGACGAAGTCTACAATCATTAATCACTTTTAACTCAGATTCTAATTTAAATGTTTGAAAAACGGCTTTTGTAACTAAAATAAAAACATTAAAAAAAAATTCTCACAAACAGCTATGAAATATATCAGAGATACAATAATGGACTCA